TAAGGAGGATCCAGAACATTCTGCCAAAGCACGAAGCCAGGACTAGAGGGGCCTCTCACTCGTTGGTGGGCTCACCATGAGTTCAGTGTGACTGGGAGCCTGGGTGGCCTGTGTCTTGGCAGGCATGTTCTGCATTTAGGGGATGTTCAGTGTTTACCTGAGTTTTAAGGCACTGGCTTGGAAGTCCTGGGTGGGTGATCTCTCTTCACAGGTCAGTAGAGGTTAGACTGCCAAGGAGCAGCTCCATATTAGTGACTGTTTGGGTGAAACACGCCCCTCCCCCATTTTGAGACAGGGTCTCTCTAAGGAGCCCTGGCTGGTCTGGGATTCTCTACATAGACCAGGCTGACCTTGAGCTCACAAAGATCTTTCTGCCTCTGCCTCCCAAGTGCTGGGATCAAAGGCGTGCGCCACTGCTTGCCTTTTTCCTTCTCCCCTCCCCCTTTCACTCCTTTCTTCTCTCATTTCTCCTTCCTTCTCTTTTATCTTTCCTCGGTGTGAGAAGCCAGAGGGAGTTTCTGCCTCATGCCTAAAATGCCGACTGGTGTGGTTTCTGCTTTTCCTTTTCCTGTCTTTTCTACAAAGACATGGCCACCACTAGTTTGGTCCCAAGGCATTGTGGGACATGATGCTTGTAAACGATTCCTCCAGGGCATTTGGAGTACAGCAACCTACAAATTCTAGACAATACCAGGGAACACGAGGGTTACAACCAGCAGCTGCAGAAGACCCGGGTCATCCTGGAAGGAAGTCTCCAACTGAACCCACTTTCCCACTCCACAAACCACCTTCCTTGACTGTCCTATGAGGAACTTAACTCTTAAGTTTCCATCCCATGGTTACGGTGCCTCTGGGGTTTGCCTTGAGTTCAGCTTAGTTCAGCTTAACCACTCCCATCTGGCTGGAGTGGTTAGGGATCTGTAGAGATGGTTGGAAAGTCCATGAAGAAAGATGCAAGTGTCCTGGAAACAGGGGAAGGGGACGATGAGTCCATCAACCACCCACGTGCCATGTCGTTGACAGCACGGTGGAAGTATTCTCCTTACACTCCTGTCCAAGAAGTGTAGAAGTAAGGAGGGGAAAAAATAGGTGAGGAGGAAGCAGGCCAGAGAAAACAGGGTAGCATGACATGAGTCTATAGGGCAAACTTTTATACACATAGAAGAGCAGCTCATTTCTGGCCTTGCCCTTGGTAAGATTGCCCAGGAGCTGGAAAGCATGTGAGGCCCTGGAGAGTCCCTACAGTTGGGGCTGCCAGGTGACTTGATTTCTATTCTGGCAAGTAAAAATGGTCATGAGAGAGGTGGAAAATATTTCAAAGATTTATTAATAACTTGAATTTCTATATTGATAAAGTTCTTTACATACTAAGGATATTAGCTCTTTGTCATACATGTTGTAAATATTTCTACTTATTTGCCTTTTGACATTCTATGGGCAAAAAAAAATGTTATTTTTTCTAAACACAAGTTGAAACTTTGATGACTTTTTAAAAAAATCATTATGTCTTTGGACTTGGAGTCTTGACTGCGAATTTTTTCTCTCATCTTGTTTAACACACACACACACACCTGCACACACACACACAATAAATTGTTTTGTAATTTATTTTTTAATATTTAAATATCAATGCATTATGGCCTTTTGGTAGAAGACATAAAAGAGATTTGTTTCCCGTCTCCCATCTCCCCTTTGAAAGGCAGCCAGCCCTCTAGTGACATTTTTGGCTAGTGTGTCTTTTCTCTGTTACTTAGAGATACTGCTCACACTCTGCGTTTCCAGATATACTTGGGTCTAATTCTGGACATGCATTGTTTCATTGATCTGCCTGTTTTGCCTCTATTATCAAGTAGATTTTAATAACTATGTGGAAGGCTTCTATTCCCTAATTGGTATTCCCAGTTGGCTTAAGAGGATGTGGTATCAAAAGGGAACTGTCTGAAGAGCAGTGGAGATTGCTTTCAGATGCAAAACAAAAATTACTAAATTATAGGTTATGATGGAGGCAATGAACAAAGAGAGCTTTATAGAAAATACACTTTGTGAATTTGAGACTAGCTAAATAATTTTGAGGAAAATAAGGGATGGGGATTAAGGGTGAAATGATGTGAGGCTTGGAAGATGGGAGGATGAATGGATGGATAGATGGATGGATGGATGGATGGATGGATGGATGGATGAGAGATGGATGGACAGATGGATGGGTGGGTGGATAGATGACTGAGATATAGAGGGATGAGAAGATGATGGATGGGTAGGAGGAGGTACGGAAGATGGAAGATGAGTGAGAGATAGAAAGATGGGTGAGAGGATGATGGATGGATAGGGTGGAAGGATGGATAGATAATTAGATAAGGAGGAGGATGGAAGGATTGGTGGAAGGATGATGGGTGGTTGGAAGAATGCATGGATGGAAGATTGATGGTCAGTAAGTTGGGAAGATAGATGGATGGTACTAGATAGAGAGGATAAAACTTTCAGAAGAACCCATAATGGAAGGAAGAGAGGAATTATGGGAAAAAAACTTCCCCTGTATTTGAGGTGAGAAAATAGCCAGTGGGCAGGCTCATTCTTTACTATTCATCTGATTTTCACTGGAACCTGGCTGCCGAATGACTCTGACCGTGTGACCTTCATGTAGCTCTAGTCAGGCCCCGGGTATCCACACATTCCCCGGGCTTCACCTCTAGCTCCTGGTTCCACTATCACCTTTGTCTTGGATACCCTGTTATAAAGGCTTTTAAAACACTGCATCTCTCATTTCCTCTCTCTTCTCTAGGGACTCCTTCCCCTCTGCCCACTCCCTTGGCTGGGCTACCTGGAAGCTTGCCCTAACCTTCTCCATTCTCTCCTTCTGACCTTATCCGTTCTGACTCAGAGGCTCACACTCCCATCTTGTACAAAGGGTGTGCTTCTGCCTGGACACACTCACCCCAGGCATTGTCATCAGCTCTTTAGATTGACACCTTATTTAGGGCTCACTGAATCCAGGTGGCCCCCAGGACCCAGCGGAGACTCAGATGCACTGTCCTTCCTGTGGGCCAACATGGTCTTGGCCTTCCTTGATGGAAGGATTGGTGTCCACTTCTCCTGCCCACTCCTACTCGGTGTGCACACCAAGGGCAGGAAGTGTTGTCTGCACAGCTAGACACGCGGTGAACACTTGTGGAGAGGCCTTTTTGTGTTTGCTGGACACGAGAACTGCCACTTAAAAAGGAGGGGAGGGAGCTCTCAAACCAGTCTGCTTGTCATATTTTTTCTTCTTTCTGTACAGTACGTATTTACTCTGGTTACTCTGGTTTTATAGTCGGACTGTGTTAGTTTTTTTTTTTTTTTTTTAAACACAAGTATTTAGAACTTAGACCCACTGTCCTTAGGGTCCCATTGTTGGGTGCACAGATGGGCTACGAGTCTCACCCTGGCTGAGGAAGCCTTTTATTCACTCCCCGTGGTTGCTAGAACAAATCACCCTCAGGGCCTTAAAACCACGCAGGTTTGTTGTCCCACAGTTCTGTGGGTCAGGGGTCCAGCTCCTTAATCATGGGAGTCAAACTCAAGGTGTGATGGGAGCAGGGCCCGTCTGTTCCCACAAAGACAGTGGGCTCGGTTTAATGGTATGCTTGCTGAAGGGTGTCAGGGAAGATACCTGGTGCCAGAATGCCTCAGAAATAAGGGGTTGGTAACCGTCAGGAAGGCTGAAGAGTAAGGATAATGAAGCGTTGAGGGTGGGCTGGCCACCAGCCCGGCCTTATTTGCTGTCATAACTCTATTTTGAATGTTTTTTGACATTTATTTTTATTTGATGTGTAGAAGGGTTTTGCCTGCACGTGTGTTTGTGTACTGAGTGTGTGCAGTACCCACAGAGGCCGGGAGAGGGCACTGGATCCCCTGGGACTGGAGTTAAATCCATTGTGAGCTGCTGTCTGGGTGCTGGGAGTCTAATTTGGGACCTCTGGAAGAGGGTCAGTGCTCTTAACTGCTGGGACACCTCTCTAGCCCTGAAAATTCCCTTAATAAAATATTTGGCGGGGTTGGGGGAGGTTAGTGATGTCACTACTGAGAGAAAGTCAGCCTTTTACTTTTACACATAAGTAGCCAGATATCATTCAGGGCCCCTTCGGGTGAAAACCGTGTCTGGTTGAGGAGCCCTGGCCCTTTGATCTGGAGACTTGGTTTTTCTTCTGTGCACACATTCTCATTAATGTCTAAGCTTGTCTGGAACTTGCCGTGTAGCCTGGGCTGCCCTCAGATTCGTGTCCCGTCCCCCCCCCCCCGCCTGCTTCTGCCTCCCAAGTGCTGGGACTGCAGACATGTGCCACCAAGCTCAGTGTCAGAACCTCTGTAACTGTCATGACCGGGGCAGGGAAGACTGGCTCAAGCATCTTCCAACGCAGAAGGCAGGCCCATAACAGAGCGCAGCCCCTGAACATTTCAGTAGGTGAAACCTGGGGAGCCCTGGCATATTAAGAATAGATTTGAACATATGCTTTCATGTACTTGGTTGGGTAGACATGTGCCTATGTTACGGTCACATAAAATTAAACAAAATGAGACTCTTAATTTCCTAATCCATGACTCGCTTTCCCAAGTAATGAATTGCCTACCACACTGTGCTCCAGGTGACGCTCATGGAGCTAGGCTGCACTCCTGGGCATGGCTTTATTTTGGACTTTTCAGGTGGTTTCCTATCCTTGGTCAGCCTCAGTAGACACTGGCCATCCTTGGGACCAACTTGGTTTCCGTATTTTCCTTGTTTGGGGCAGAGGTTGTGCTCTTTCCCGCAGGTGTTTTTTGTTGTTGTTGTTGTTTGTTTGTTTGTTTTGTTTTTTGTTTTTCCTAGAGGCTGAGGCCAGCAGGGGCAATGTGACTCTTTATCAGCTCTGTTTACTATGGGCAGCTCTGGCTGCGGATCTGGGAGAGGAAGAGCCATTCTGGCCAGTTTTGTCTCCTTCTCCAGTCACAGCCTAGCTCTAAACTCTGGCTTTTCCTTTCAATTACAGGCCTCTCCCTCTGATGAAAAGAAAAGGGAAGGATGGACTACACTCACCAAACTGCCCTAGTCCCATGTGGACAAGACAAATACATGTCCAAGTAAGACGTCCTGTAGTGTTGCTCAGCCAGGGGCCTGCCCTGGGCTGGGACCCTGAGGGGAGCAGATAGACACCATTGGGAGAGGAGTTTCATTTCTGTGAGCATCTAAGCAGCAAGACAAATGTGGACTAGTGAGAACAGCGGGAAGATAAGCAGCAGCCAAAGATGAAAACATGCTCCAATGAGCCTAGCCTGACCACTGAAGGGTTAAGGACACTGCACCTTTGGGAACTCAGCCAAGGCTTCCAGAAAGAGGAGTTAGCTGAGGGCTGCTTGCTATGTCCAGAACATTTGTGCCCCCAAATTCCCTCTGAAGCCTGAAGCCCAAGGTGATAGATTAAGACATGGGCCTAGACCAGGCATGGTGGCGCACACCTGTAATCCCAGCTCTCAGGAGGCAGGGGCAGGTGGATCTCTGTGAGCCTGAGGCCAGCCTGGTCTACAAAGTGAGTCCAGGACAGCCAAGGCTACACAGAGAAACCCTGTCTCGAAAAATAAAACAAAACAAAAAAAGATGTGTGCCTCTGTAGAGTGGGGTGAGTCCCCTTAGAAAAGAAGGTGGTTGGCTTATCCTTCTGCCATGTGAGGAAGCAGGGAGGAGGTGGTGAAGAACCAGCCCTCTCTAAACGCTGAGTCAGCTGAGAAGTGAAACCCTGTTGTTTTTTAGGATCCCCAGTTCAAAGCATTTTGTCATAGCTGCCATAAATGGACACAAACACTGCTCACTGCCCCTGTCCAATGGTACCCGTAGGGAAAGGCCAGGCTGCGATAGTGTGCCATGGGCTGCCCTGGCTTTGACTAAAACAATCACAGGTGCCCTCTGGATAAAACAGGTAGAGTCAGTGGGGTGTGGTGACACACACCTATAACCCCAGCAGCTTGGGAGGCTGAAGCAGGAGGAGCCAGTTCAAAGCTCGCCTGGGCTGTGGTGAGTTCAAAGTCAGGGTTGTGTGGAGTCATGTTTTTTTTTTTTTTTCTTTTTTTTTTAATATATAATTTATTTAACTTTATTTTATGTGCATTGGTGTGAGGGTATCAGATCACTGGAACTGGAGGTACAGACAGTTGTAAGCTGCCATGTGGGTGCTGGGAGTTGAACCTGGGTCCTTTGGAAGAACCAACAGTGCTCTTAAACACTGAGCCATCTCTCCAGCCCTGTCATGTCTTTTTCTAACTGAGTCCAGCGTGTATAGAATGACTCCTTGGCTGAAGCTTAGCCTGTCTGAGTTTCAAGGACCCTCCAGTGGGTTTGACTTCTATTGGCATCCAAAATCTCTCCATTGGCCGGCTGGATTTAGAAGGGCTGAGTTCTGTTCTCCTCCCTGTGAAGCAGGCAGACACACAAGATAGGCACGCCCCAAGCTGTCACTTGGTGTCCCCCATGAAGTGATAAACAGCAGGCACATATGTCAAGAGCAGAAGATTGCCCTCTGGCTCCTCTTGCCCATGTCTGCTCACTGCTCTTCAAGGGGCCTGGCTTCTTCCACTTAACATATAGTTCATATACATATACATTCATATAGTCATTGCTGTTTTTTCCATTGTGTAACAATAACTTCCTTTATTCATCTTTTCTGTTGACGAGAGTTTGCTAAACACCGCAGGGGTTTTATCAACCTAGGGAACATCCCCCAACTCCCCTAATGAGACAAACCTCAAGGCCTGTGGGGGATCATCCAAGGGAGGGGTGAAGAATGACCCTTGGGGCAGTGCTGTCTTTGTGAGCACTGGGCAAAACATCCAGGGATTGACCTGGGTTTACTTTTTTTACACATTTAAACATAGTAGAACTTGTGACCTGTGACCCTTTACAGTAAGAATGAATTCTATTGGCTGATAAACAGAGCTCAGGGCTAGGGCCTGGAGAAGGGCAGAGTCTATTGGGGGAGGGCTCGAGGTTCGTGGGGTCTCTTTCATAGGGATGTGTGCTATGCATTGCAGGATTAGGGCCTGACCAGGCTCAGGATATCGGGAGATCCAGGCGGAGGCTGGCTCCAAAGAGAGAAGCAAAAAATCACTAGATTAATTGGCCATTTTTCATCCTGGCATTCCGGGTAACTAGGGGTCATTCATTTTCTTCTACCGAAGAAAACAGGCCCCTGTGGTTGACAGTCCTGGCCTCTCCAGTGCTTTCTTTAAGCCGAGCCTCCTACAGCCTAAGTCATGTTATCTCTCTGAAAGGGATAGAAGTTTCAGAGCACGGCATTCTCAGGATGCCTCCTAACGTTTTTCTTCACCTTGATCACGAGGGAAGGTGTCAGTGGGGTGGTTGGTGCAGAACTCTGTGTGTGCATGTATGTGCGTGTACACGTGCGTGTTCATGTATGCACACTGAGGCCAGTTGCAGGGTGAGCAAGAGAGGGAATTATGGCCCTGTGGTGGCTTCAGCTGGCTGTGTGTCTCCCCCCTGAGGAATGAACTTCTGCTGCATCTGAAGACCTACAACTTGTACTATGAAGGCCAGAACTTGCAACTCCGACACCGAGAGGTAAGGCATCCCCACAGGAGGCCTGGGGGCCCTGCCCTGGTAGGGCCCAGTCTCTTCCTTGTCCCTCCTGTCATGGCAGGTGCTCCCAGTACTCAGGATGCCCATGAGCTTCCTTGAGATTCTTGAGATTCTTTAGAAGTCTCTCCAGTTCCAGCTTTGATCCGTTCTACTCTGTCCAGTCTCTGTCTCAAAGCCAAGTGTACTCTTCCTAGATTAGTTTCTGAAAACTATAAAGAAGCTTGTTAGAATAACTTATCCTCACATGTCCTTGGTTGACTAGAACACATTTTTCAGGTGACTCGTCCCTGGTGATTTAGCACGTAGAAAGAGAAAGGAGTGAATTTCAGCTGCTAAGGCAAGCGGTTGGGGAATGGAATATAAGACAGTGGCCTTTTCCTGTCTCTTAACGCACTCACTTAGGGTCCAGTTGTGGATTAAATTGCATCCTGTAGTTGTGCAATATAAAGGAGCAGTGGCAGCCCTGGCCAGCTGGAAACCATATAAACAGCCCTGTGTACACAAAGTCTCTCTCCTCAAGACCACCAAATGTCCTGACATAGTCGATTTCCTCTCCCCTCCCCACAAGGATGATCCTTTGGCCTAGGTAGATTGATCACTGCACAGATATCCTGAAGATGTTCATGGTCCCTCTTTCATACCATGAAAGCTTCTCTTCAGAAGGGGGAAAAGAAGCTCAACCTGACCCTTAACTGCTGGCTGGGTCGTGGGCCTTGCATAGCCATGTGGCTTCTGTCCTTACTTTGTGTATCTGTGAATGCACAGCCTGGCAGACAACTTAAAGGGAGAGAGGAGTTATTTGAGCTCACGGTTTCAGAGGGTTTGGTCTGTGGTCACTTGGCTTCATGTGCTTAGGCAGAAGAACGTGCTGGTGGCGGGAGGATTTTATTATTTCATGGCAGGTGGGAAATAGAGACACACAGGAAGGTACTAGAGGCCAGGTATAACTCTCGGTGACCCACTTCCGCCAGCGAGCCCCTCCTTCCTAAGGTTTCCACCAGCAGGGAAGCCGACATTTAACATCTTTAATCAAGCCGGAACAATCCTGTAGTCAGAACTCAGACACCTCAAAGTCTAACTAGGGTTGGAGGGGCTGCCCTTGGGAAGGTTTTACAGTCTGCTTCTTGTTGGTCGACAACCTTTGAGTATATCTTTGGAATTCCTGAAGGATTTATTTACCTCTTGGGAAGTGTAGTGGTGTGTTAGACTAAAAAAAAAAAAAAAAAAAAAAAAACCGCTGGGAAGTTCTGCTTTAAAAAATAATCAGGTCAGGATGGCAGCTCCCAGCTTTCAGACACTTGACACCTTTTAAGGCAACAGTTCTGTTCCAGGAGCGAGTCCTGTAAGTAAACTTGGAGAAAGCTTTGACGCTCTGTTCCCCAGAGTTAGGTCGGATTGCTAAACACAGGGGAAAACAGGCAGCTCTAGGCCTTTGTTCCTGCTTCTCTGTTATTTTTAAAAAGATTAAGACCCTCTCTCCGTTTCTCCCTCCTTCCTTTCGTCTTTGTTTCCCCCCTCTCCTTTCCTTCCTTGTCTTTTTTATTTACGTACTCATTCTGTAGCTCATACTAGCCTGGAACCGATAGCTATCCTCCTGCCTCGGCTTCCCGAGTGCTAAAGTCACCAAGATAAAAATAATAGAGGTTTGCCGCTCTGCGCATGTGCATTTAAAGTTTAAAGAAACAGGGTTTGCCGAGAATGTTGCTGGGGGCCTTCCGGATGCTGCCCGGGCCTTCCTGCAGCGGAGCCCCTTCACGGAAGCTTTTGTGCTGTTGACTTCGAGGTCAGCTGCAGGGCGCTGGGAACCTCACAGCAGAGTGTGCCTCAGAGCTAGGGTCTGCACGCCCCCGGCATCCGCTCTGGGTTCAGCGCCCCGTTGCTTGCTTCACGGCAGGAGGAAGACGAGTTCATCGTGGAGGGGCTGCTGAACATCTCCTGGGGGCTGCGTCGGCCCATCCGGCTGCAGATGCAGGATGACCACGAACGCATCCGCCCCCCTCCGTCTTCCTCCTCCTGGCACTCCGGCTGCAACCTGGGCGCACAGGGGTGAGTGAAGGGAGATGAGTCTGAGGGTGTCTGGGGGCTCCTGGTTCAGTTCCCAGTATCTGGGATGGGGAGAGAGGGGCCTCTGACCTGACTCCACAGGCACAGACTGAAGAAGGCTGGTTCTGAGTTAGCAAGGGGGCACGTTGAAGAATGGGCGGCAGAGAGTCCTTTCTGGAGGAGCCCTGGACCCCCCAGGGTACTTGTTAGTGACTTAATCATCCAAGCCTGAGGCTCCTGATGAGTGCCAACCCACACATCCTCCCAAGGGGAATGGGCCTGCTCCAGAGACATGTAGGATTTGAACCTACTGATCAAAGCTCTCTCTGTCTTGGTGGAACCTAGTGGAAGAAAAGGAATGTTCTGTCTGAGCCAGCCAAGCGAGGTCAGCCAGGGGTCTCCTGTACACCTGGAACAGGTCATGGCTCAAGGCAGTAGTCTAGGAGGTCCCCTATTGGGCCTCACAACAAGGTCAGTGAAAGCCTTGTCTGATCTCCCCGCTCCCGTGGCCAAAAGAGCTGCTGCATACTCGCACAGGGCAGGTCTTTTTGTTCTCTCTGGGACTTCACCTTTAAGATCAAGTAACTAGCCTTGTTTCCCCTGGAAACTTGCTGAGGTGGGCAGCGTTCCGGCCAGAGCCTGGGTGGAGCGTGCTGGCTGCTCAGCCAAAACCACAGTGATGTGCTTTCTAATTTAAAGGGGAACCAAGCGGTCTCCCACCCCCTCCACTGCTTGGAACGTTGTTACATTCCACAGCCAAATGTAACATTCTCTTTAGTTGAGAAATACCTACAGAACAGCCAAACCCTTGAATCAGTCTTGGCGCTTCCGAAGAGAACTGAAGGAGGGGAAGTACTTGTCTCACCCACTGGGCACAGAGAAGCCTGGTCAAGGCTCTTTGGCTTGCTCTCAGCACCTCTACTGTGTTTCAGTTCCAGTTCAGTGGGCCGGACCCTGTCCATGCCCGGCTTTGACCTCTAGAGTGTTACATTCTGTTCTCCGAGTAAGATGATTTTAAAAATCCCATTTTTCCATGATGCCTTTGGGCTGGAGCTGCAGACTTGGTTTTTCTCGGTTCTTGGTGACAGCAAGCTGGTCCTTGAAGCCTGTGAATATTTGAAGGGCTTTCAGAAGCACGCCCCAGGTGCCAGCAAAATTTAAATGTTGCCTGCAGGACAGTGTTGTAGATGCCCACGCTAGTTTCTGCTTTGAACCCTGGAGAGAGGGGTACCGCCTGGGCCAAGTGTTCGCCCTTCTCGAAAGGGTACAGATTGAGGCTTAGCTGGCTATGAAGAGCAATTCTTTCAGCTTTTCAACTTCACTTCTCTTCCCTTAAAGCCACCATCCCTGGAACACAGGAAATAATCCCCACTCTTCTCACTTTGGACCTTATTATCAAAGATGATTCTCCCTTCAGACTGAATCCCCCCCCCCCCCCCCCCCCCCCCCCCCCCCCCCCCCCCTTCGCTCCACCGAATCGTGTAC